AAGAAGGCGAAGATGCCATTGATAGCGCTCCTGAATCGACAATGGAAATATTTTCAACGGTTGCCATGCTGATAATAGCTGTTTGCTAATGATAGGACAGTTATAATCATTAGCCCAATGATTACCATGACAATTAATACATTTAGAGACTTCCTTAAGTTGGATATGTAGAAGAAAACTGCTAAACGGAAGAAAAACGCTTGTGGAGTTGAGGAAAATGTTTTTTGGGCTTCTTTAAGCTGTTTGCGTAAAATCCTTACAAAATGTTTACTGAGATTTAATAATTCGCCACATTTGTTGAACAGAAAGAAAATACTTGTCTCAAACAGTATTGAGAAAAGCGTTTGCTAAATGTTCGAAAAGTCTGACCGTGAATTCTCTGCACGAAGGCGCGTCAGCGTTTCCTAAGCATTCTTTGGAAAGCGTTACTTTAGCATTACAAAACTTTTATGAAACGATATATACTGTATTTTATAAGCGTTTCGAAAGTATTTAAAACCCAATGTTGTTCTGTAAGCATTCTTATAAAGTTTGAAAATGTATAAACTCCTAAAAAATCGTCATTGAACGGTTTTATAAAGTTCCATATTTTCCCCGTCAGGGTTGTTCCCTGCGACTTTTTCTTGTTCCCAAAATTAAAATCAGTTCTCAAAATAAAAATTCAGTTCGAGGCGAAAATCGCCACGAACACTAAAACACGTTGCACTCAAAGAGCAATAACTAAAACTAAACGAGATGTAAATTTTAAAAAAGCCAATTACTTGGAAGATTATAACGATTGTAGCACTGCAAACCGTATCGCTAGAACGCTCCGTTGCCGAATAATTCAAAAAATTCGCTTATTTTTTTATCAGACCTCGTATTTTCATTAACCCGGATCTACAACAGATTTTTAAGCTTTAAATCATAAGAAATGGACGAATCGCAATCGATTATTGTTTCAGAGAAGCTCGACTGGTTCCCCGGTTTCGAACTAACCTGACTATGTGTGACATGAAATTAGCGATTCCGCATATCAAAGAGGATCGTAGCTGAATTTGTTCAAGTTACCGATTGATTAAAGACGAGTGCTAGATATTCCGATTATAGTGGATTTCGAATCATTTCATGGTTGCTTTCCCGCTCTCCGTAGATAAGCAACGAATCTTTCTAATACTTCGGGACACTCGGGACAATTTTCGACGGCATGTCGCGTGACAGTTAATAGAACATTCATTATAGGATTCGAAACATTCAGGGAGCCCCAAATGAATGTAATGTCGTAAGACCCCTTGAAAATTTTTCTTTTCATTTTCTGACACGAAAGTATAACATTCAGGACATTTGATACCGCTGAAAAAATTTCTCTACGCTTTCTCTACGCTGAAAAAATAGAAAATACACAACATGCAGTACGTAACCACGTGAAGTACGGATTAACCGCCAAAATTCGAACGTCGATGGGTGCGCGCGAACGTGGATACATGGGACACATGTAATTCATTGATGGCAAATTTCAATTATTGGAATGTGGAAAGAAGCTTACCTTGAGGTGCCTAGTCAAATGTTCTCTGGTTCCGAATGCCAGTGGAAAGAATTAGTTAGAGTATCAAGGCCTCTACTGCTTCCTGGATGAATTTAGCTGCTGAATAGAATTCAATTCTAGAATTGAAAAGAGATGAGGAATAAGTTGAACTACAGTCAAGTATTTCCCTGTTATGAGTTCCCAGTTGAATGCTCGACTGTAGTTGGTTGGTTCTTACATAAGTTCTTACATAGGGACCCTATTTTTGAAAAGTATCTCATTCAAAAAACTAGAGAAATGCTATATAGTATATGTGACGCATACTATAGTATTTCCCTAATTTTTCGTATACGATACTTTTCAAGAATAGAGGATCGATTCTGTATCTTGAAACAATCTGTATCTGTGTGAAAATTACAAAGGTAAGCGAATTTACTAGAATACTGATAATTTTATTTGGTCAACACTAGAAAAATTTGCTCACTTTTGTAATTTTCACCTTGTTTGAAAATACCCCCTGATCTCGAGTAAACCCTCGATGGAAATTAGGCTAGTGAAAGGAGACTGAAGTTAGCGCATTCTATCATTCTATGATTTCTGTAAGTTGTTTTCATGAGTATCTTTAAGGCCTCTTCCTTTGATCGTGCCGCCGTTGATAGATGTGTAGTAGAGACCCTAAAAAGAGAGACTGTGTGACTGTGGATGATTCTAATTGGCTAGGATATGGATCGCACATTTGTGCTCCATGAAGATACTATAACTTCAATTTATTCTGATAGAATATGTGTGCGTATTACATGTTGAAGCACTTTTGTTATCTATTGTTTTGACTATTTTTGGTAAGTTAATTTATCACACCTATGTAAAATTATGAGAAAAATCAATGTATATATTGTCATGAATAAGCTTTGAATTAATAAACACTTCATTATATTATGTATATTCATTATATTAAAAATAAGTAGTACGGAAATTAGAGATATCTGTTCCATTAATAATGTAATTCTCTTCGTCGTAGATTTGTATTTTATATATTTTTGCGATACGACATATTTGTTGTGCATCCTGATGTTTTAATAAATCCAATGAAGCATACACAATCAGATTTTCCAAGGAAAACCAATATCAAAATACATAGCCATACAGATGCTGCTTTGGGCGAGAATGCATCAAGATCTTTGAATAATTTAAGATTGTGAGAAGCGAGTGTTCATTGTAATAATGCTATACAGAAATAAAAAATAGTTTAAAAAGTGTTTCTCCATTTAAGGATTTCAGATGCACTTCAGTTAAGCTTCAATTAAGCGTCTTCAGTTAAGCGCACGAATTTTTCAATCGGATTATTAGTTTTTGAACAATAATAAAAAAAAGTAATGTTTTGAACAATAATAAAAAAAAGTAATTTTTTTCGCAAAATTGCGATCTTTTTTTTAAAACAGCATTATTTTGTCTAAAATTATTTTATCAAAAAATCAGTACGCTTAACTGAAACAACTCATATACTTTAAAATAAAAAAAAAATTTTATTTTAAATCCTCCCGTTCAAACGCAGCATGAGTGCCCTCATGTTTTTCCAGATGAAGTGCCCATCAATAAGCACTGAGGCTAGAAATATTATTATTATTTAATGAATGTTTTGTAATAACTTCGTAAATGTACTTCGTATGTACTTTGAATATATGAAGACAATAATTCATACAAGTTATTAATTTTCATTTAAAAATTCACAAAGGTAGCCTTTTTTTTAGCCGTCACAGTAATGTTCCCCCTTAAGGCTTAAAACACTTATTATAGATCGGACTATGTGGCTCTGCACACAAAACGTAACAACGCTTGCCGCGCGGCGGAAATTGGAAATATGATAACTCAATATCTCAACAATAACAATCAATATCTCGCTTACTTGGAAATAATGAATATATAATTTCCATCGCGCGACAAAAATTGAACTCAATTACTTGCCGCGTGGCGGAAGTAATATTACATCATTTCTAGAAGTTTTGCAAAATGGATCGACTTGAGAACATAGAATTATAAGCTAGTGCAACAATTTCCGCCGCGCGGCAAGTAGGAGCCATAATTGATCAGTTTTTTATGCTTATGACTTAAGCAGAGAGCACAGACTCTTGTATAACGCATAAGGCATAAGAAATTCAATCAACTAGAGTTCTTTATTTCATGGAAAAGAAGGAAACGAAGGATTTTAATTGGCATATTTTCTTATGCATTACGTGTTATGCGTTATGCAAAAGTTTGTGCTCCCCGCTTTAAAACATCTATTGTAGATCCGGACTTATGCATTTAAGGCTGTGTTCCAAAATTGACTATTATAGTCATTCCACACAACTTGCATAGCCATATAAACATAATGCATAAAGAAAATCATTCAATCGTATTTTACGTTTGTCTTTATGAGAGAAATGTGATTATTTATATTTTTCTTTATGCATAGTTATGCGGCTATGCAATGGTTATGCAAATTTGACTGCGTTCGGATTCCTACTTGAGTGTTTTCTGGATGTCCTTGTTGTTTACCGAACGTTAAACAAGAGTGACATGACACCCGGATAGGAATCCGAACTCCACCTTTGTGTGGAATAACCCTTAATACTGAAAATCTATAGTGCACGTAATGTAAACTGTAGCATTTTCAATGCTGGCAGTATATTTGGAACACAGCCTAAAGTCTTCAGCACACGATGCTTGTTTTCCTGCTAGATTGTTAGCTGGATTAGAATTTTGCCACCGTATTGGTTGCGATGTTGTCAGTTCGCAGAAGGAAAATAAGCATCGTATGCCGCAGGCTTAAATGAAATGGATGAAAAATGTCGGACCAATCACAAATAAAGGAGAAGACTCTGGCCAGACTCTGATTAGAGGGTCTGACGAGAGTCGAATTAGCCGTAGCGGAGAGGTGAGAGAAACGACTGGAATGAGAAAAGTGGTGAAAAGTAGGATTGTGTCAAAGTTGCTCTTTAACTGTTGCAAGCTGATTGCCTGGTACGGGTTATTGTTCGTGTATAGTGGTTAAAAATTTTGGGAAGGCGAAAACACGCATTACGTCAAAGTTACAAAATGTTTCGAAGTTCGACGAATTTTGATAAATTATTAGGTAAGCTTCTTTGAAATTTGTTCAAAATGTCGGAACTTTTTTAGCCACTCATTAATCTATTCGTAGATAAGGCAACAAGTCATTTGCAGTTAGAACCAGACTGGCCTACAATTATGCAGATTTGTGATCTTATACGTCAGAGCGATGTTCAGTAAGTATAATTTTAGTAAAAAATTTATTTTACTTAATTATTAAGATTTTTATTTAGCATATAGCATATGTTTGTTAATTGTATTCCTTTAAAGTGCCTTACTTAAAAAAAAAACCTGTGTTAAATA